ATATATATATATATATATATATATATATATATATATCTGTAGGTATATATACATACATACATATATCGTATTCTTTATTAATTTTTCAAGGACTTTTTACACATAATTTTTTACGGCTGAGCAGCATCATTCTTTCTTGCTGGGACTAGACATTCTAATTGCGTGGATTCTAACGTGCATCAGCGAAAAACCCGACTCGCGCCTAATGACAATGGCTTTAGAGATAGGTTCTCCGCGGCGATTGGATGTTACAGTTGGCAGTTTTCAAATTTTACGATAGCGCGCGAACCCCTCTTGTGTACATAATGTATCATCGATTTTCGATCGTGGCGCAACTCGTGCGACGCACTTTCCTTACCGCTGATTTTACTCGCTCGTCCGTAAGTCCGGCCGAGCTTATTAATCTACCTCTGCGATTTGGGCATGTATCGGATGGATACGAAACCAGTCTCTGCGTTCTCCCATTGGTTACAATTAGCGGTACCGACTAAACCCCGCGGTGCCGGGGTTCAACAATACTCAAAATAATGTTCGTGTAATCGTAAATCGGCGATTTTACGAATCGAAAAAAGACAACTTGGTGAAATGAATGCCGTAAACTTGTCGCATCTTGGATAATTTTTATTGCGTATTCTATCTCTCTCTCTCTCTCTCTCTCTCTCTCTCTCTCTCTCTCTCTCTCTCTCTCTCGCGTGGACAAAGAGACACGAAAAACCTCTAAATTTTATTATATAGATGCAGTAGAACCTCTGAAACTATTTTAACTTTGCAACGTACAAAAGAATATTAATTGTAACGTTATATACATAGGGTAAATGTAAATAATATATATTTAACGGATGCAAATGAAAGAGCATTTTTTTACATGATTAGTCTAACACCACCTTACACCGTCTTAATTCTCAAGTCTATTTTTTTACTTTTTAGCGCGCACTCGCGCGGAGGAAGAGAAACGCGCTGAAAAGGAAAAAAATTCTAAATTTCTCGTTACGTTATTATGTAGGGGTGGCGGTATACCTCAGGAAATATTTTAACTTTGCAACGTACAAAAGAGGAACTGATATGTGTGTGTGTACAATATGGTTAAGCAAGGGACAACGGTATTGCACGATCGGTCTAACACACGTGAACTTATTCTTATTTATTTGTTTCTATTTTAAATCAATTAACTATCACGTGGATGAAGAGACACAAAAAAACCTCGGAAATTTCATTACATATATAGCACAGGTCCATTGGGAATATTTTAATTTTCGCAACACGTGTGTATATATATATATATATATGTATGATGTATGTATGTATGTATGTATATACATATAGGATAAAGTGTGTAAGTAATATATTTATACAGACACATAAATGAGAGAGACAACATGATACATGATTAATCTTAACACAAGCATGGACCTGAATGTTTCTTTATTTAAACCTATTTCTTACGAGAAAACGCATCGCCTAGCTCGAATAAAACACATATTCGTTACTTGATTAGCAGAGTTTCGTAGGCACGAGGTTTTACTGTATACGCTTTTTCACCACGTTTCGTGTAAAACTGGTTTAAAAATATGTCTTACTGGCCTTACTATCCATCCAATATGTGATGTTACTGTGCGCGAATATACATATATACATATTAATAAACGCTATTTTTACCTCATCGTCAACAGTTAACCTCCGCATTCATGAGCACCGGATAGTGGTGGCACGGAAACTAATCACTGATATTATTACGTGCCAATTATTGACATACAATATTGCACACATCGGTCAACCGTGTCCTCAGCGATTACTTACGACACCGCGGGTCAGCATGGTCGCGGGAATATAAATCGTGTATCGTGTAAATCGTGAGAGAAAATGTGTTTAAACGTGTAAAAAAAAATATATATATATATACACACACACACACACATATATATATATATATTTATATTTATACAGCCGAGTGACTTGCAATCGCACACTGTGAACATATTCAGCACCCGGCACTCGGCGGACTCTGCGAGCTCGCTCGAATTCTACGCGTGTACAGGTTATAACGTAAGGTTGGTCCTGTAAATAAAAAAAAAAGATGTTTAAATGCGACACATGTTCCTTGAATGGATCGACAGCGTCCAGTCGCGTCAGTCGGTGGTCGACTATTTTTCTTTCGAACAGCAGTACTCGTCGAAAAAAACAACGTCTAGCGTCGTGTATCTGTTTATCTGCAGTCGTGTGTCGTTACTCGAGTATTATGTCGGTCGCAAAGCCAAAATAGCAAATAAGTATCCTCGAGGATACGAACTTTCTCTTTCTCTCTCTCTCTCTCTCTCTCTCTCGTCTAATCAATGGCAGCCGGCCAACGAGATTTCTGCCTCGGAGCGCAGAAACAACTCTATACAGTGGTCTCCTCGGGTACCGTTTATCGTTAAATAAAAGTTAAAATTCCCGAGCGGAACGCCGAGAACAGATGTTTCGCGACCCGTGTCGTACGGAGTTGCATGCGCCATGCTGCAAAAGAAACCTGTGTCATGTATCGAATCACGTTCCTATCCGATTTTCACACTTGACGATGGAAAAGTCGAGAAAGAGTCAAGAAAAACCGGAATTTTTTGGATCAACCTAATGCGTCATACGAGTTTCTCTCATGCTCCTGCGTGCTATTATCGTGCATATATTTGTGAAAACTTGGAATCACATTGTACTTGTAAAGAATACGATGTAACGATATGTATACACACAACACACACGTACTATATATATATATATATATATATAT